AGGACCATTGCAGGCTCCTCTGTTCACATGCTCATTTTGACACAAGTTCACTTGGTACTTGGTCCTTCAGTGGAAATTGCTGTTAAACCATTACTTACTACTATTTTTTTTTGGAATAGGCATTTTTTGTGGGTTCAGTTAAACAGAAAAACTTGAAAGAGCTTTTCAAAAGCTTGTATGAATATTACCTTCATGAAAGTAATATGGGCTAACTTAACAGCCTTCATTCATCCTCATGTTTCTTCTAGGTAAACTAGATCCAAAAAAGTAAATGAGCAAAACAGAGTAAGCACACAAGACCTTCTACATATGAAAATAAAATAATAAACTGAACCTGTTTTGAAATATATTAAATTTTATAATTATTTTTTGTCTTTGCATACTCAGATAACCTTATGCCTAGCAGCTTGTAAGATATCTGATAAAAAATTATTCTAGAAACTCTATACAGATCGTATGTGCTGGCTTCTAGAAATATGACAGCAGTTACGAAGTGTGTCAGTATTACTGTTACTGTCCTGTTCCTCTGCAAGAGATTTGTCTATGAAAGTTATACAAGGAAACTAACCTAAACTTCTCATCTTTATGATCCCCTTGGCTTTTGAGCCTTATGCCTCCAGCTAAGTATGGTTTTCTAGCATAAGCAAAGAGAAAGGGTGAATGTGGGGGGGGCCCTTATGTCTTAATGCAGACTTTTGAATTTCAGGAGCCCTGTTGCAGAGCTATGAGGGTGCCCAGAGTGCAGGGCCTGTCTGCACCAGTAGCTTGCAAAAGGAGGGAGCTTGTGCAGCTGTCTGCAGGCAAGAATGAGTAGATCTCTCTCTCTTAACTTGATTTACTCTTCTCTGGTTTAGCTGGGGGCTATGAAGCCTCTGCTCTGCTAGTTGCGAGTGACCTTCAACTTGCAATTATCCACAATATGTGTGCACATTTAAACAGGTAGAGGTTGAGAGGGAAAGATCAGCTACTTATCTGTTGTTGTTTTGATTTGAGACGTATTATCAGGAAGTGCCTTCATCTCTTTTTCCGCTCCTTCAAAGTCTACTTTTTCTTTTGGTGGGGGCTTTCAGTTGGGAGAAAGAAGTACTTGCTGTATCTGTTCTTACTGCATGAGTTACAGGAAGGGGGAGAAGGGATACAGCTGGGCTTAAAAGTTCTTTGACCTCAAAATTTCCAAACAGCGATATGAAACATCTAAATAACATTTTTTCACACTAACAGTGTGAGCTGATTAACCTGTCCTTCCCAAGAATTGAATTTAGTTTGAATTTAGTTGTTTAGTACTGAGAAAAGTAATTTTTCTGGAGGTGTTCAGTTCTTCAGCTATTGACTGTGTCTCTTACACACACTCAATAGTGCTTGCAGCATGCAAGGCATCAAACCTATAACTGCTTATATCTTAGCACTTAGCAATATCACGAGTAACCCCCACTGAAGTCGATAACTTTTTTGTAATGGAAACTAAGGCGTCCATAAATATGTATAGATGAATGGATGAAGATCAACAGTCTTTTTTTTTTTTTTTTTTTCTTCCCTGGAGGGATCTCCATTTTTAGTGCATTCTTGGTAGATCTATTTCTTGAGATTTTGCTGGGATATAGGAGCCTGACTAGGTGATGCTTCATTTTCACTCAGTGAAAGTGAGTGGCTCAGGAATGCTGAGCTCCCAGGACAAATATTTACTTTCATTCCTCTTTTCCTGCTCATTTTTTTCAGTACTTTCATATATTTATACATCTTTCTGAGACTTTAAAAGTTGAAAGAAAGAAATTTCTGTTTCTTCAGTGTATTCCTAAGTGTTGGAATAGCCTGTACTGCACTATGTGCAAGAAAAACAGCTTTTGAAAGTCTCTGATGTGGTATTTGTCCTTCATTGTGCATCCTAAATACAGGTAAATAGTCTTATGGAAACCTGAATTAGAACTACCTGGCTGTAATATACTGGTACTATCCATATGATATTATAACAAATGGTTATTACTATAGCCACATAAACTGGTTGAATTTGGATGAGAATGGTGCATAATGCTTGAAATATCATCCTTGCGGAAAATGAACTGCGGAAACATTGGAACAGGAACTTTATGTCCCTATATACATGAGTGCCCAGAATTTCTATGAGCAGATACTGTGGGCTGGGAGCCACAGGCAATTTTCAGGGACAAATTCATATCGGAACATGGCATCGTAAGGCATACCACTTAAATAGGTAGGAACTTACATTTATTGACCACAAGCACCCCCCTCACCTTTTCCTTTGAAACATAAGCAAATTTAGCAGAGAAACAAATTCGGCTATTAATACATCCGAGCAGTACATAAATTTATCTCCATCATCTGTTTGCTCTGGCTTGCATTAATAAGGATTAAATGTGTTCAGTGCTTAGATGAAAAGCTTTTAGAGGCAGAATATATAGAGCGGTAAGAGAGGAGCAGTTCTTCTTATGTCAGTCCTTTCTATAACTAGCCTAGGCAGTTGCTATAGAGCAATGTTATGGAGTGATGTTTTATTGCCTATGCTGCTTTTTAAATGTAACTTTTAAAACCCACTGGCCTTATGTGGAGTGAATATTTATTAATTAACAGTCCTTTGTTTGGGTTTAGGATGTTAACTTTAAATAAATAGAAAGTTTCCACCTTGTTAAACAGCATAGTGCAATTTGGTGAGATCAAATGTATGAGTCCATTATTTTTTTCCTGAATGGCTCCATTAATTTGCAAAATGACATTTCTGCCATTGCTGAGTTACCTCAAGTCTCCAATCTTCCTTTCCTAAAAGGCAGTGATGTCTTATAACAGTCACACTATTAGGTTGTTGCTACTTGGAATGTTTATTTTGGTAAATCTAAGAAAACTTTATTGGATCCCCTATCGCTTTGGCACTGTGAATGCTTTGCTGCTTACAAAAACGAGTGTCTGGTTATTGGATGTTTCAGAAAGTTGTGTGATGAGATTTCATCAACTTTATTCTGGTACCGAATGAATACAATTATTATTTTTGGTGATAAGTGTTCAGATTTTAATAGAATAATAAGTCTCTCCAGCCTTAGAACTTGGTTGCAATAGGTAGTTGGTTTCATCAAGCAGGTAGGGATAAAGCAAATGTCAGGATGACAACAACTCTTGTTTCTGTAACAATGAAAGTATGTCAAGAGCATCGAGGTGAGCTTTGCCCTGCTGCTTCTGTGCTGAATGTGCTTTGTGGATATGCAGAGGATACAAGCTGTAAGGCTGTTATTTTGGCGAAATAGTCAGTAACATGAAAGACCAAGTCCTGTCCTCCCTCATAGTCACAGGGAGTTAAATACTCACAGTGGATCCAAGTGAGCATGGAAGAGGTGTGGTGGTTGGAATTTTCTGATGAACTTTTTCTATTATATACAGTCCAAGTATTGATAGTGAAGGTTAAAACTTGTCTTTTTTAGAAGTCCCTGAAAATTCCTTCTCCAAGTGCAAGCATAATCAGCACTACAGTGGGTTTGGTCTCCTGTCATCAAGTGTGTCACCCCACTCTGGGTGGGGGGAACCTACTCTGACACTTTGGGACCAGAGTAACAAGCATTTTGTGAACATAGAATTTTTAAGATTGGGGACCTCTAGAGATCATCTAGTCCAACCCTACTGCACACGCACCTAGAGCATGGACTGCGTCCAAGTGGGTTTTGAAGATCTCCAGAGAAGGAGATTCCACAACCTCTCTGGGCAACCTGTTCCAGTGCTCCATC